GGTTCTTATAGGAATATCTTTTTAGAGCCATGCCAATATCAAGATAAACCTAGAATCACAATTATAAACCAAATCCAGGATTCTCTAACACAAGAGGTAACCAGAGAGATCACCTCTATCTTTAACTCATAGTACTCCTTAAGTCTTCTGGAAAGATCTCAGATTACAGAACTCATTCTTCTCAGCATCTTTGGGACCCTGTCATTTCTTTCTTTCTCCACTGCACAGCCTTCCACTTTGCTGCCTTTTGTCAAGACCCTTGGGTTCACATGATGGTGTTCGAGCCATAAATGCAACCAACAGTGAGCTCCACAAAACCACATAGAAGCTGCTTCTTGTCTCTCCAAGGGCTGCTGTTAGTGCCCACTCCAGGTCCTGGATTGGCCTCCAATACTGATTCCAGCTGTTACTCCTTGTGGGTCTTTTGAGGTTCTCTGCATTGTCTTCTCTGGTTTGATTTATCCAATAAAGGATGTCTTCCCATTGGAATACACAGTGTCACCTGATGGCATGTCAAGGCCCTCAGGGTAACTGTGAGATCCTACCAGACTCGCAAGTTACCAATGATGCTTATTTCTTTCCTTTTTATGAGCATTTTTATTAATATATATTTACTGTACAAGGGGGTTTCATTGTAACATTTCCATACATACATCTCATGGACCTAACAAAACCCTCTCTCCCTCTCTTTTCTGAAAACAATCCAATAGGTTTCATTGTGCTAGTTTCATGCATGTAAAGTTCTTCACCCACATTCGTATTTCCACTGGCTCTCCAACTTTCCTAATGGTGCCCACTCACCCAACAGAGCTTGCTTTACTTTTCTGTAATTTTTAGCATATATGAATTGTACAAGGGGGTTCGCAATGGTATCTCACACTTACTTATTCTCCTTAAGTATGTCTAGTTTTAAAGATCCATGCATACTTTATTTACTTTTCCACTATATCCTGGGACTCAAGCCATCATAAACTTGAAACCATTTCTAGTTCATTTGTTTTTAGAAAACCCTTCTCTTAGACATTTCCTTCACAAATTAAATTGATATTTATCTAATAACTTTACATTTCCTGGAGATAACTTGGGTAAATAAAGTAGCATTATAATTCTGCCATGACTTACAAAGCTTTCCTTTGGAAGGTATCTTTAAGGGGGAATGTTCTGATATTTACTTATAAGATGATAATGGGTGCTAATTGAAGAATACCACGGGGATGATGTGAAACTATTCTAGTTTGTCTAAGTAATCATGTTGACAGATGATATAAATGTTCTTTATAAAGTTGTGCTAGCAAGAAATGGTGTATTCTATAATATCTCCTAGCATCTGAATTCACATATTTAAAGTATTATCCCTTGTTCACAGACCATAAAATTGCACATCTCATTTGCAATTGAATTTGTTGGAGGTTTCCCAAATAGGAGGTAGAGATGCATCAAATGCATTTTTTATGTTGGCAACATTCCAGAACGGGGATGGCATAACCCCTTTCTATCTCAATGCCTGAGCAGATTGGTAAGAATAACAAATACTTCCTGGAGTTAAATCTAAATTATAAGTACATGAATAAACATATATAGGGCTATATGCATATATACAACTAAACATATTGGCTAAAGTATGATATATGGGAGGGAGGATTCCAGTAAAAAACTCCTTTGAATAACTAACTCTGTCCCAGACAGAGGGACCAACCCCACAGATCAAACAGGGGTAGTTTGCATGGAGGTTTGTAGTAATATTCACACTGAATTTCAAAGACTTTGTAAAAGAGATCATACAACATCTCTAAATTTTTACATTAATTATAAGTTGAAATGGTAATATTTGGGAACACTGGTTTAAATAAAATATGTTGTTAAAATTAAATCATGTTTCTTTTTCATTTTACTACAAGGAAATTCAACTTTACTTCTGTGGCTCATGTTTCTATAAGAGAGTGCGTGCTATAATATGTGCTTCTAGCTTCTTTCTCCCCTTTCTCTCTCTCTCCCCCTCTCTCCGTCTCATGTAATTATTCTCCATGACTCATTTTACTGAGCTTCAAACAGCTAGCTACACATCAAGTGGTAACTCTTTTGAGCTCTTGAATATCTTCTTTAAAACCCAAGGCTTTGTGGTTTCTGTAATGTTTCCTAGTCTCTTCTATCTATACAGGGGGGAATGATTTCTTTTGACAAATAATGTTATTGTTATTATTAAGGTGTTGTACCGAGAGGTCACAATTTCATAAGTCAGATAATGAGTACAAATTTTTTGGGAGAGTGTTACCCCTTCCTTTCTTTTTCCCTAGTTGGCAAGAACATTCTTATTGAAGAAACTGGACAACTGCGATAGAACATAATATACCAAAAGAAAAAAAAAGGCAGACTCCATCCTCCACTGGATTCTTCCTTCTGTCCTTGGATCTTACTGTAAAATACCCTAGCTCAACAAGGAAGATCACATTCCCTCCAAGGAAACAGGTTGTGAAACCGTTAAGATGTGGTGTCTAGTGGG